CTTCTGTCTCTCCAGGTGCAGAAATTAAGTGGGTCCCAACCAAAAACATCAAATCATATCGCACCCCAGAATGTGTTGACGAGTTCAAGATTGTAGAAGTACGCAGACGTGAGCTGAAGAGAGGGATCATGAGTCATGCCTGACATTCCTTTTTCATCGTTGGAACCTGCAAACTCTGATTTTATGCTGTTTTTAAATGTGTCAATTGTTGGTTTCATAGAGCTGATTTTTGGCAAAAGCATGGTTTTTGTTTTGTTATGTTGCAGATCCCCTCTACTGGATTTTCAAATGTGATTTTTTTTTTTAAAGGTCAAAAGCAAAGTTTTCAAATTTATATATATGAGAGGATCTTTTGCCAAAATTAGCTCACAAAAAGGATGGAGTGAAATTGATACGCTAGTGTTTGTTGATTTTAATTGCTTCTTGTAGTGCAGATTTGTCTGTGGAACAACCAAAACCAAATGTTTGGGTGACCTTAGCCAAGGCAGCAGGCCCAGATACCATATGTTTGTCTAATTCAGAACCAGAAAAGCCTTTCTCAACCTGTCTAGCTGATGTGCCAGTAAAGGATTTGCCTTTGATCAAAAAGCAATTTAATAGTAAGCTTGGTGAAATTGACAATGGGAGCAATCCTGTATTGAATTGGGACATTTGGGCCAAAGAACTTCCCAAAGCAGGATCTGAACCCCAAGAATTAGAAATCCTTGTTTCTTTAACAATGGATTTTTGCCTTAATGTTTACAGCTAATGATTGGTGAGAAGGTGATGCTCCAAAGTACAATGTTACTCCCCATTATTTTGCATATAGAAATTTAATTTTTTGGTGTAATTATTCAAACAGTTGGGGTGTGCTTTCCAAGGCTGACCAATATCCACGACAATTACCAAAAGAATATTGGTTCATTTGTGGAGATAAGGCTTGGCAGGGCATTCCATCACGCCTTGAAGGTGGCCCATGTAGCATTGGAATGCTCACTGTGATAGCACCTACTGCTAAAGCAGTCATTAAGAAGAAACATAGGGCAACGAGATCTGCTCATCATTATGATGAGAATTGTAAGAGTGATTTCATACCTTGGAATGCTGCGAAAAAGGTTTCAGCAGGTTTGTTTTTACCCCAGCTGGCTTCAGCAATGGCATTGAAGCAATTAGATCAGGGTGGATGTTGGCTGAGTAAACAAACTAATGCTACATCCACTGCAATCAGTGATATGCTGACTGATGTTAACAGTGTTAGACCTGCTACCCTTCAAAATAGAGCAGCAATTGATTCTCTTTTACTGGCACATGGACATGGTTGTGAGGAATTTGAAGGATTGTGTTGTATGAACCTGTCTGATCATTCTGAATCCATCCACAAAAGCATACAAAAGCTGAAAGATTTGACAGCTCAAATTAAAGAAGATGGTGGGTCCTGGTTAGATTATTTGTTCCAAGAATGGAGCTTTGCACCTTGACTAAGGGAACTTTATAAAATAGGTCTATAGGTGTTGGGTGTTTTAGTGGTGATACTAGTAGTGATACCTTGCTTACTTCGGTATGTGCGACAAATGACGGACAAGACTATCAAAGAAGTTTTTATCATATGAGAGAGAGAAGTAGGAAATGGATTCACAGAGAGTTCTTGAAATCTTACAGAGATGATGGATGAAGGTATAGACATGGAGGAAGGTTTTGAATTAAGACATTGGAACAGGCAAGACTCTTTTGAACAATGAATCATAGTTGTTATCAGACATGACTTTTGCCCTTTGAACTGACTGGACTTTCACAGCATTAAAATTGCTGTGTTGTAATATAGCAATGCTTAATGTGATCAAAAAAGATGCTTTAAGAAAATAATTATAGTAAAGCTACGAAACGCAAGGTAGTTAATAAACGACATGGTTATGAAGGTTTCTTTTTAGTTGAACCAAGAGGGGAAATGGTGGGAATCCTTAAAATCAGAGGGTTTGGGGAAAGCTGCAAAAGGCAGGCCTCAGAGACAGCAGAATTGCAATTAGAGCTAAGCAGTAGCCATGAGATTGGTCAGCAGAAAAATTATATAAGAAGTAGAAAAATAAGGACAAATAGAATAATGATCTGTGTATTAATGCTTGTCTAGAATAACTCCCTAAGCTACAGAAAAGTATATCTAGAGGGATATTAGGAAGTTCTAAGCTTAATAATGAAGGTCTGTGCATTGTATCTTAAGGCTTACAAGCAGGTACTGTATTTGAAATAAGCAAGCATTGTTTTAACCAAAGGGATGTGTGCTTATAGTGGTTGGATGGAACTACTGTCAATATGCTTTTGTTTTGTGTGATTGGTCAAACAACTGACAAAGTTGTTGGTCTGCTGCCTGGGATGTGAGCTGCTGGCATCTTCCCATTGCCATAACCATGTAATGAGACTGATGCTGGAAAATAAACAGTGTGAGATGCGTTCCTCAGCAGTCCCGTCCTTTTCGTGATTTGTACATGGACCCCCGGCTGGCAGTATAAGGCCCAGGCACCTTCTAGCCAGGCCATGCCACGCTCCCTGCTGCTCTCCCCATAAAGCTGCTATCCAGCTGGCTGCAAAGACCAAGAGGGCCTTTCACAGCCTGGTCTCACCTGCATCCAGCCCTGAATCCTGCTGTTAAGAAGCTTCCCTCTCTGACCATGCAGGAGCCACTCTGGCAGTCACATTTGCACCACCTAAGCTGGGACTGAAGCCCCTTCACAGCTACACCCCTCACACTCACATTCGGACCAGGATTCCTTACCAACTCAACCCCAGGTTTCCCATAGCAGAGTCTCAGACATCCAAGTCCTTCAAATAGCTTAATCGTGGTGCAGTAACTAAATAACAACAGCTCCAGTTGGTGCCTCTGAGAAGGGGCCCTGAACAAAGGAACCCCTGGGCTTTCATACCCTAGCAGCACCAAAGTCTGGGGGTCTCAGCTCCTGCTGTGTCTCAGTGTCCAGTGCCCAGGCTGATGCCACAGGTCCCTGTGCCCCTTCCTGTGCCAAGGGTTGGCAGTTCATGGCCTCTTGCCTCGGGCTCCCATCCAGAGCTCAGCCTGCAGCTCTCATGATGATCTCTGGCAGCTGAAAATTTGTAGGTGTTTATCACCTGTCTGTGATAAACAGATATTGGGAATTAAGTGGTTCAATATCTTTGAGGTCCTGGATTTTTAATTAAATCTCAAGGCTGGAGGCTGCATTTTTCCTTTTTTCTGTCTTTTTTTGTTTCAAGTTCACTCTTGAATCAGAAAATGTCATTAATTGAATGCAGTTTTTAAAGGGGGAGGTTCTCTTACAAAGTAAACACCGTGGACAAAAATCCAGTATCAGGCACTGTGCACATCAGCTGGGTATGCTGGTCAAGTATCACCTGTGCAGGTGGTCTCTAGTGAAGTCTAGATACAGGTTTTGCTCCCTGCTGACAGCTCTCAGGGGCTCTGAGAACCTGTACACCCTTGATGACCAGAGCTGTATAAAATATTGTAAGAGATTTAAAGAGCACAGTTGCCTTAAACACCAATCACAGAATCACAGAATTATTTCGGTTGAAAAAAACTCTGAGATCATTGAGTCCAACCTGTGACCAAACACCACCTTGTCAACCAGATCACAGCACTAAGAGCCAGGTCCAGTCTTTTCTTAAACACCTCCAGGGACAGTGACTCTACCATCTCCCTGGAAAGCCTATTCCAATGCCCAAAATCACCTTTTCTCTGAAGAATGTTTCCTAATGTCCAGCCTAAACCTCCCTGGTACAGCTTAAGGCTTTGTCCTCTTCTGTTGCTGGTTGCTGGGAGAAGCCCAGCTGGCCCCCATGTGGCTGTACCCGCCTTTCAGGGAGTTACAGAGGTTGATAAGGTCACCCCTGAGCCAGTCTAAACAACCCCAGTTCCCTCAGCTGCTCCTCACAGCACCTGTGTCCCAGACCATTCACCAGCCTTGTTGCCCTCCTCTGGACATGTGTGAGTGTCCCAATGTCCTTCCTAAACTGAGGGGCCCAGAACGACACAGCACTCAAGGTGTGGCCTCCCCAGTGCTCACCAGGGGAAGGATAACCTCCCTGGGCCTGCTGGCCACACTATTCCTGATCCAGGCCAGGATGCCATTGGCCTTCTTCGCCCCCTGGGCACACTGCTGGCTCATGTTCAATCACCTGTTGACCAGCACCCCCAGGTCCCTTTCTGCCTGGGCACTGTCCAGCCACTCTGCCCCAGCCTGAGGTGCTGCAGGGGGTTGTTGTGACTCAAGTCTAGGACCTGGGACTTGGACTTATTAAACCTCATATTGTTGGACTTGGGCCATCTATCCAGCCTATGCAGGTCCCTCTGCACAGCCCTCCTACCCTCTAAGAGATCAATACTTGCAGCCAATTTGGTGTCATTTCAAATTAGCTAATGGGGGACTCAATCCCCTCATCCAGACTATTAATGAAGGTATTCAGCAGGACTGGCCCCAGAAGTGATCCCTGGGGGGGCTCCACTAGTGATCAGCCCCCATCTGGATGCAGCACCATTCACCTCCATTCTCTGGGCCTGACCATCCAGCCAGTTCTGAACCCAGCAAAGAGTGCTCCTGTCCAAGTTGTGGGCTGCCAGCTTTTCCAGGAAAATGCTGCGGGAAATGGCGTCAAAGGGTTTGCTGAAGTCCAGGTAGACAAAGGCACTTGTTTTTGTTGCAGACTTAAGGCACCAGATGCTACTTTTCCACTGTAGATATATTAATATCTGTAGGGAAGGCATTGATCTGTACAGGTAAGGGAGTGTGAAGCCAAATTCTTCCTAGATGAGGATGAAGGGTTCCCTGAGTTAAGGGCTGCTTGGGCAGTGGTCAAGCCAGTAGGATTTTATAAAATTTGGATAGAGAGTATTCTCAGAGCAGAAAATGCAGGTCTCTCTCTCTCTTTTTTTTTCCCTTACAATTTAAAATTTAATTCAGTTTAATGAAATTCAAATTAATATAACTCTGAAGGAAAGGGTCACTATAGCCTGAACTGCAGGTGGTCCATTCTGCAGTTCAGAACAGTTTTCCCTTTAGGTACCGCAAGATATCCTTCAGCATATTAAAGAATTGCAGCAGCTTTTCACGTGGAAATGGACAGGGTTGTGTTGGTCTTGGAGTTATTGTCACTGCGGGGGCTGCCGTTAAGGTTGGTGCTGGTGCTGGAGTAGTTGCTGGTGCTGGCTTCCTTCCCATCTTGCTCCAGATCCAGTTGTAGTAGTACTGAGTGGAACTGGAGACTGCAGGCCGTTTAGGTCTGGCACAGCCTACTCCCCAGCTGGTCACACCAATTTGCCAGAAGAAGCCAGCATTCTTATCTTGGCAGACAAGAGGTCCCCCACTGTCACCCTGAAGAAAAGCAGAGAGGATTAAGGTGCTTTTGGGTGCCCCTGTAAGCAGTTAGAGCTGGCTCCTTTACTCTCCCAGCCCTGCCAGAACTGGATTCCTGGCAGAGCAAGGCTCTACTCAAGTGCTGGGACCTGCAGAACCTTGACACCCTTGGAAGTAGGATGGGGGCCTGTAAAGTGGGGCTCTCTGTCTCGCCTGTGCTTGGATGTTTCAGGGTTGGCATCTGGACCTCATTGAGCAAGGACCCATGGGTGGGAAAGGGGGCGGAAGCTCCAGCAGTGGTGCAGAGCTGTGGCTGGGAGAGCAACTGGCCAGGCAAAGCAGGCACTGGGCTGTGCTTGGTGGTGTGATGGGGCTACCCACACTGCTGGGGGACTCATAGCACGCTCCTACCTGGCAGGTGCCAACACCGCCCTGCCCAGCACACACTTGGAAGTCATGGATGTAGCCTTGCAGCCACTCGCTACTGTTGCAGAGCTGGTTATCCACGACTTGGACCTTGGCCTGCTGCAGGATATCTTTACCTGATGCTGTGAACAGAGAAAGGAATGAGTTCTCAGCAGCTCCTTGCCCATTCTCCTGGCCTGTGTGTTGAAGTCCTTCCCTAGGGCTTGGCTCTGCCTCTAGAGAGCTGTTGCAGTGCTCTGTCACTGCTGTCTGGCGTTGGGCAGCAGGTCAGGCCCATCCCTCCAGGGGCATACGTCCCACAGCCCAACTCTCATTTTGGCTCTGCTGTCAGGAAGCCCCAGCCATCCCTCCCTGGTGTGCCAGCCTTGCCCTCAGGGCACAGGTCCTTTATGGGAACTCACCTTTTACAATTCTGTCACCCCAGCCAGCAACGTAGCAGTTTTTCAGCTCTGACACTTTCACCGAAGGACCAGGCAGGCAGGCGAGCTGAATGGAGGACCTGCACCGGACTGGCCGGTCCAATTCCACCATGGCAACGTCGTGATGCTCAAGATTAGGACGATATTTTTCGTGCAAGACCAGCCGCTTAATCCGGCGCACTTCCACATCAGGGCCTGACTGAGCCTGTGACGTGGCCCCAAGCACAATGGCCCACTCGCTGAGGGGACTGGAAGGCAAATGGAGAAGGGGTGAGGGGGAGTAGTATCATGTGCTGTGACGGCCCAGCACTTCCCTGCCTTCCGCTTCCTGAGGCAGAGAGGAAAACAGGACTACAGAGGGCGAAAGTAGACTCAAGATATGTTAAGCTGGAGGCTGCTAGGGAGCAGTGGCATGAGCCCACTCTTCTGCCTGAGCAGTCTCTTAGCTGGGCCCTGCAGTTGGGCCTGGGCCCTGGCCTCCTGGCACTAGGCACACTGCAAGGAAATGGGATGGGAATAGCATGCACTGGTGTAGGGATATCCCCATACCCTCATCCTCCTTACTTGGTGATGTTGATAAAGCAGTGGGCAGCTGTGAGGAGCCACTGTGGGCTGACGAGGGTGCCTCCACAGATATGCACAGATACCGGTGGGTTCCAGTAGCAACGGACACTGGCAATTCCTGCCCAGGCCCCAATCCCTGGCATGACATCTGTGCCACCCACAACACGTGTTGAGCTGACGGTAGTACCCATGGGCCGGAGCCCACAGGTCTGTCTGTAAGCAGAAGTCATTACTGTCCTGTGAGAAGGTTTCCACAGGGCTTTGGTTGCAAAGCCAGCAGGGCCAGGGAACTGCCTGGGGCATGCATATGTTGGCCCATTTCTGCTTGAGCCCTGTGGACAAGTGGTGCCAGCAGCCTGGGTGCTGGTGATAAACTGAGGCTTGTGCCCAGGGTTTTGGAAACTGGCATAGCCACAGGTAGCAAGTGGGCATCCTCAGGGAACCCCCTAAGCCTTTGTCTGGGTCCCCTCAGGTCAAGCCTGAGGCTACTTACCCACAGGTGCCATGTGCAGGCCCGCACAGAGCCAGTAGGATGAGGATGGACAGCAAAATCATTGTGGTCAGAGACACAAGTCAGCTGCAAGGAGAGAGGGCTTGTCACCTCCAGTGCAGCTGCCAACGTACTGCCCACAGAATTTGCAGTGCTGCAGTGCCCTTGACCCTGGAGCTGATGTCACAGACGGACTGGTTCTATGTTCTGGGCATGGTGCTGGCCTCTGGAGGCAGGGGGGAAGGGCAACGTAGAGCCATAGAACCACAGAAGGGTCTGGATTGGAAAGTACCTTAAGGATCGACTAGTTTCAAACCACAGCCATGCACATGGATGCTTTCCACTACACTAGGTTGCTCAGAGTCCCATCCAAGCTGGCCTCAAAGGGTAACAGGAACGGGGCATCCACAGCTTCTCTGGGCAGGCAACCTGTGCCAGTACTGTGACAATGATACAAGATTTTACTTGGCATCCAAAATTCCTACAGAATTTGCAGCTACAATTAAAAGCAACACACATTCTGATTCTTAAAATCAGTTTGTGAAATTGTTTTCATTTGCTTTGCGACAGAAAAATCAACTAAACAAATATAACTCGGGGGCCTCAAGAAAAAAAAAAGTCTCGAGGCCTAAGCTCTTTTGGTGTTGTTTAGAAAGTAACTATGAAGAATTCTAATTAAAAGTCATTTTCCTTCAATAAGCCAGAGCCCCTTTACAGTTGAGCTTGTTTATTTAGTTGTTTCCATTGGACTGCTGAACAGCTTACCCCTATTTCGAGAGGTACAGCAGAGGCTGTGCATTGGACTGCCATTTCAGTTACTACCATCAAGTTCCTCTCTTCAATTACCAAATTCCAGTTTTCTTAGCTTTCCTTTGATGAAGTTCAGGGAGGACCAAGGTGATGGAAGGTTCCTGCCCAGATATCCAGAGTCCAGTTTCAAGTTTCCTGGTGTGCTGTACAGCACGCACACAGAAGGATCAGATGTCAGCAGCCTAAGACACTGCATTTCCAGCTGCTGTCCCCAAGACCTGGAAGCCCCAAGGACCTGCATTCCCTTATTACACTGCACTTACCATCCTCTCTGCATGGGCAGTTCCAGCCCTTTGGAGGGACCCTTTTCCTTTGGGCCTGACTTGCCTGCCTCCAGCTGCATTTTACAAATCCCAGCTCAGGGAGGCCTTGGCTCCCACAGGAGAATGAGTGGGACTGTGCACATAGCTATCTGTGAAAATAGGCCACTTTATTTCTGTAGCAACTAAGTCACCATCAGCCACTGAGCACATGTGGAGGAGGAGTGTGGGCAGGACAGAGTGCGCCTGTGGCAGTGAGGCTACCTTTGAATCAGCAGGCACTGCCCCAGAAGGAGAGGGCTGTGGTCCACTGCAGCCTGAACTGCAGCCAATCAATCCCTCCCTAGCCTGCCTTAGGCTCCAGGCTGCCCGCCTTTGGGCTGCAGTTTGACTTGAGTGTGAGATGAGGCTGGGGTTTTGTTTCTTTGAACTCAGTAAATCTGGTAATCCCCTTCCCCTGCCCTGGTTACAGGGGAAAAGAGAAACAAAAATATTTACTTCAGTTTGTTGCTGTAGTTATTTGGCTTTTAAGGCAGAAATGCTCTTCATGCTGTGCCAGCAGTGGTATTTCAGGTGAAGTGGGCATGAGCTCTAGGCCTTTGGCTTTTGCAAAAGGAAAAGAAGAAAAAGAGGGAAAAAAGAGAGGAAAAGAGAAAAAAAGGAGAAAAAGAGGAAAAAAAGAGAGGAAAAGAGAAAAAAGGAGAAAAAGAGAAAAGAGAGAAAAAATAGAAGGGAAAAAAAAGGAGAAAAAAAGACAAAAGAAGACAAAAGGAGAATAAAAAAGAGGATAAAGGTTTTCCCTGGAAAGAGTGTTTGCACCAAGGGAAGCCTGAACCTCGTGTGGCACAACTTCACAAGTTTCACCCTTGCAGGTTTTTAAGGGCCTTTGTTGCTGATGGCCGCATCCCATGGCCAAGTGTGATCTAAGGAGACCCGAAGGTGCCACCTTTGCACTCTGAAAGTTGCTGTGGTCAACACTGCAGGTTTTTGATTTGTTTTGATATTTCCCCCAGTTTGGAAATTCTCCCTCCCCCCCTACTCCTCCTTTTTTTCCCCCTTAGGAAGAGGGCAGGAAATTTCTTTTTGGTCTCTCAGCCTCTCCCTCTGTAATAAATACTTTCGTATTCCCACTGCATACAACATAGGTGATACTATAGGGTGTTTCATGTGGGTATGGGAAAAACTACAAGCCTGAGTTTTTAGAACTGTGCCTGGAGGAGAAGCCATGCCGAGGTGTGATGGTTATGAACTTGCTTGGATGTGGGAGTGGATGATGCCTGGGAGGGGATAAGAGAGATGTATACACCCAGCCCCAGCTTGCACCTTCCTACTGCTATACAGATGAAGAGGCAGCAGCTAACTGGGGAATGATGAGCAATGCTGTCAATACTCAGTATGAGAAGTCGGAAGGGGGTGTCTGTTGACATCCTGGCAGAAGTTCCACCACTATTGTGGGTTTGTCCATTGCATGAAGTCCCTACACCTGCTGTACATTGTTAACAGCACATGATACTGCATGAATAAACATAGCTATTTCCACAGGCTTTAAAAAATATTACAGCTTTTAAACCAAGGGGGAAAGCCTCCCCAGAAGCTCTGGTGTGAGCCTTCACCAACAGGGCTTGATAATTCATAGCTGGATTTCTCACAGAGGCTGCTCCTAACTTGGAGAGGTCAGAAGAATGATGTGATGGCTGCAGACATTTTGTGATTTATGTGATTTTTCATTTTTCATTTTGTGATTTTATGTGATTTTTGTGGTCTGTGATTTTCTTTTTTTATTCTTGAGTTCATTATCATGGGGCTGATTTGATCTCGTCACCTTGTGCCATGCAGATTTAAACAAAACCTGAGTTGTTTTTTTTTAATGAGTCATGAACAAATGTGAGTTGTTCAACCAAAGCTGAAATTTGAAAAGAGATTTTGTAATTTCAGGAACACTTGCTGCCAGCACTTGTTCAAAAGCTGGAGCAAAATGGACTTTGAAAAAGGACAGGACTGCACCATTAAGGGATACAGTGAAAATGAAATCAAGAGAAGTTGGTATTTCATCCTTGGATGGATGCACTGATTTAACAGTGGTTTCTGCACCAGCTGCTCCCCAATATCAAGAGGAAATGCTACTTTTTTGCAGACCTCTGAATCCTGTGCAAGGACATGCAGATACCCCTGGTCAGGCACAACCACTGGCATAATGACCCCCATAGCTGGAAGCTTCAGAAAGAGGATGCCTTTGCTCCCACAGAGCAGGACTACTACTGCAACAATCCACATTCCTCACTAATCTATGTGAGGCACTAGTGAGGTCTTCTGCAGGCTAGTTATTCTTGTTGGAGAAAGTGGCATTGTTCAGCAACATGACCTTTTTCCAGACTTTTTTTCTAATTTAGGGCAGTGTAAAGTGTGTAAATTAGCTAAATACAGCTTCCTTAGAGGGATCCTGCCTTTAAAAATGGAAGTGTCAGGGAAGAAAGCAGTCTATCCTTATGCCAAGATGAAATAGATGTTTCTCCTCCACGGCTCTAGGCAAGCCTGCACAGACCTAGGGGTAAGGGCCTAGCCCAATAATAATGGCTGAACTGGTGCGCATCTGATGCCCATTTTGAATGTGAGCACAATAGCCACAGTACCAGGATGGACCTTTGTCTTCTATCCCCAGACACCCCATTCCAGTGGGTACAGTTCATCCTCAGGACCAACTAGGATGAGCAGCACATCCCTCATTACTTGTTCTCTGAGCTGGATGAAAACTGTAGCAGAGAGGCTGAAGGTGCTGAGTGGAAAGAAATGGCAGGGTAAATCCCTGCTGCTGCTGTGATGGGAGAGAGGTGCCACACCGGCAGTACCCTCTGGCTCTACCTTCTGCTCTCTGAACACTTTCTGCAGCTGCAGGTGCTGATGTGAGCAGCCTTCTCCTCTTACCACCACAGAAGTTTAGCAATGGAGTTGGAGATCTGGAGCTGAGGAGAGGCAAAAGGCAGTATCAAGTGCAGGATCAAGCCCTGCGTGGCCACTCTTACACAGCCTCTGAGCTGAGGAGCTGCACCACCCATGAAAGGATGCTGCTGGACAATTGTGCCAATAGCATCAGACACTGAAGGTAACGTGGGAGCCACATCTCTCTGGCTGCATGTTTGCTGCATGACAAACCTCTTGGTTTGTCACATGGCCCTTCCCTCCAAAATCAACCCTGCCCCAATGACGCATCCTTTTTCAGAAGTCCTGGTGTTATCTTTAAATTCTGTAGTCATCCGTCTAGCATTGCCAGCTCATTAAGTCAATTCCTAAGGCATCTAAAGAAACATTTTCTTACTACACCTCAGCCTATTAGTCTGCATTTTGTACAGCCCCTAATACTTGGTGTCCTACATATGGTAGTCTCACTTACTAAGTACTACTAAGTTATACTACGAATTCCATAATCCTACATTACCTGGGTTAGCTTGAACAGTTCAAGTTTTTGTCCTGCACCTATGGCTAAACTTAACTAGCCATACTCACACTAGCTCTAACCAGAATCCAGCTAACAGGACATCCAACTCTCTCTTGCTCTCAGGGTTGGAGTGGCAGTCCTCACCTTCCCTTGGAGGTTTTTTCACAGCCCTCCTAACACTGGAGGGCTGCTCTCTGTCTTGCACTGACACCTCATCCTTTTCCTGACCCTCACCCTGCCCTAAGTCCATGTCCAACATGAGCTCTGCCAGCAAAGGCAGTCTGCCTTGCACTGGGTCTTAGACATTTCAGTCTTCATCAATTCCCAATACACTCAAAAAAGGAGAATTATATTTAAGCATTTCTCATGGAAGGAGGAATTGAGTTCAGTACAACTTATTAATAGGGCTGGAGACTCCTTAAAACAAAAACAATTTTAAAACCTCTGCAACAGACATAACAAAAGTATGCATATGCAACAAATGGTAAAATGAAAAAAACCTCCCCAACTTTCCAGATTTTCTTGGTACACTTTCCTGTCTAAAACTCAGCTCCATGTTATT